TGTGACTTCGGAATGTTGACGACATTGGGATACAGACTCAACCTGGGGAAAGAGACATTGATGGGAGACTATTTGGGATCGATATCAATGACATTGGTGTTGGCGACATTCTCGTCGTCTCCCCCATCTTAGTCTCTTCCCCCTCCTTTCGTCTGTGTATGTTTGGAGCCTGGCACATTCCTCCTGAGTGTAGCGCCAGGCCCTTCACACCTTGCGAGAAAGATGATGTATGTTTGGTCTGCATTACGACATGGATTGGTCTGATCATTGGTATATTAGCCTTCCGCTGCGCTATCCTGTACAATGTGAGAGAGGTCGGTTCTTGTTGTGGTCTGCACCTTTACGGTATGCAACACCTACGCATACATGTACACGACATACTCAAACACAGACGCTTTGGCCTTCTCAACTGAATTTGTTTGCCATATCCTGATGTGTTAAGGGGGTTATGGGTATGCCCTTGGGTGCTATACATATTTCATACTCAGTTACACCATGAGGATAGGCCTGTCAGCAGGCTATCTGCATGTCAATAGACTGGGTAGCCGTGTCTTCACCTAGTGGCTTGGCTGACATTGTAATTTGTGGCATGGAAAAAACCGTGGAATTAGTTAAATTTGTTCGTCCGCATCAGTGTTCCAATAAGCTTGCCTTTTCTTAATGTCCTGATTAGTCAAGAGCGCAACCGCCCTTGTAGAGTGGTGTGTGGGTTTTGGCGAGTGATGAATCAGCACCGTCCTTTAGTGTTCTGTCGCTGTCATCCCTCGACTTTAATTGATCCCCCTTCCTTTCAACCTGCTCCGTGCCAGCGCCCCCCTGCTCGCCAGCCAGCCTCTGGTTGTCGGGCACTGAAGCAGTGCTGTTGCACACCAGCCAGCAAGCAAGAACGAAAGGGAGCCCACCTCACTTTCCTATATCCGGTCTGGCTGGCCTGTGGCCTGCTTGGACGTGCACGGCCCTGCCCCAGTAGATGTGCCCCAGGGCCCTTCCAGAAGCTGCATGGGCCTCAAACTCTGGGCTCAGCCTCCAGCACCTTAAACTGTCGGTCCTACCCCGTAGTTGGAAAGCGCTGCAGGTTCAGCCAACCCTCGGGCCCTTTCTGTCCACGTCGGCCTATTCTGAGGCCTCAATTTTTTCAGGGCCCACCTTCACTTAGGGCAGGTGCAGACAGTTACAACTGGGCGAGGGCCTCTTCCAGCGGGCACAGGTCCCATTTTAACGAAGGGTGAAAGCCTTATGCTTTGCACTGGTGTTTTTGCCTGATAATCAAAAGATTTGATAATGGTTGCTGTTTTTCAGTGACTGTTTTCCCTTGGTTAGCCGCCGATGGGTAGGCAGAAGTGATCCCAGCGAGTAGCCTCGAAATTTTCTCAATTATTCGTGTGCAGATTTGCACCAACATGATGTGCGCAGTGTGCTACGTTCTGCGTGCACATGGTCCTACCTGTGAATAGTTGCTCGCTTTCTGGTCCAGTGCGTAATGCAGAACCTATGTTGCCCGTCAAATATGGGTGGTTTGGGGGCAGATCAATGGCAAGTTAAAAGAGTTGAGGAGCTGCTTGGTCCACTAGTGCTCTTTTTGAAAAGTCTCGCACCCATTTGATTCGTGAGGACATCGCACAGAATCAATAATTGTGCAAGTCATGCATCGCTCCGAGTTTGACTGATCTATGCTTTTTCTTTTTTCTTCTTCTTTTTTTCTTTAGCTGCTAATTCTGCAGTTTCTGGCTTGCAATGATGTAGTTTTCTAGGTTGTTTTTCCGGGTGCTCGGGCTCCCAACTTGTGCCGGGATACACGGCAGGGTGCCCAGCCGGACCCCTGGGCAGGGTTCCAGGCAGCCCCAGTGCAAAAAAAAAAAAAATAAAAAAAATTCGGGAAACAAAATATGTTGTGTAAAATAATAAAATTACAATACAAACGACTTTTGGCTAGAGGGTCACATCAGAATTCCTCACAGAATCGGGGATAAATAAGAAAATAACACAATCACGCAAAGGCACCCCCCTTTAGCCCCTTTGAAACAATTTATACCCCCTTCCCCCCCCCCCCCCCGGCCGGAAAAAAAAAGAAAAAGTGTTTACCGTGGCCGTGCAGGCTGAAGGCTTTAGCGTGGGAAACCAATGGGGTTCAGTAGGTTGGGGGTAGTGTGACTGTGCAGTTTTGCAGTTTGGGTGGTTTGGGGGTCCCTCTCAATGGCTGCAACAGAACCTCGCGCAGGAGGCAAGAGAT